ATATGCGTGTTTATGTGTGTGTTTATATGGAAGAGAGTGTCTTATCCCCAGATTGCTGGGGACGCAAAACACACATTCTATTTGAGTAAATTCCATAAATGTAAAGCCAGATTCACTAGAGTGAACATATCTCGTAATGGAGACATGATTACTCCGCAATCATAGTACATGTAAATACACGATTCCATATCGAGAACATTATTAATATAATAGAAAAGCGCGTGCGCACGTAATTAATTTTAAGAAAGTACTAAAACGTATTTTTTGATCGAATTAATAATTTTTCGTGTATTTAACGTTTAAAATAATTAACGATAGCAATAAAAAAGAATTCCGCTATTCCGATGCAGAAAGCGCGGCAAATTCGAGGTGGCTTTCGAAAAATAGCCGGTGTGGCACACGTGACTTATGATAAGTGCTTCGCCAGAGATATTCCCGTGGGATCATCAATTTCAACGTCCCGCCCCGCACGTATACCCCCGACGTTTTCCGATTTCCTTCGCCTTCCGCTAGCTCGACCTCTTTTTTTTACTCCAAGAACTCCTTTGGAAAACTCATCTACCCCTGCAAGTTGCAATATTTCATGCGGTAGCGAATGCATTTTTGCAACGATATATGTCATCGTGGTGGTGTCCCAACATAGACAAAATTAAAATTTTGAAAACTTTATCCAGATAAATATAAATACGACATAATCCCAAATTGTTATATGTATAACAAAAAAATTACATTAACAATCGAGATATATCGTGTTATCTTCCTACTTGTTTAATTTGTAGAAATAAGAGAAAACTATAAAAACTGAGAAAAGTTCGGAAACGTACAAGTACAAATGTATTCTTTAAATTTATTTTTTCAAATTTTGAACAAGTAGGATCAACTTCACATAGGTAGGATACAATTATACAACTATTGTATCATGTACATTCATATATGTGTTTGTTATGTGCATGTTGTACACCGTGCTTAAACAACGCTTCGGGAAATTAAATAGATTTATCCGTTCGACTTTATGACATAGATAAAGTAATCCGCGTGTCTTCTATCGTGCTGCTTTCCATCTTAATTCCGACTCGTAACGATTAAGATTTAATCAATAGAATCAAGCTAATTAGAAAAGAAGATAGAGTTGCTGGCGTAAATCTTCTTTGAAGATTTTGCATTAGAAACATAGTAAACTACACAAAGATTTTTATAAGGAAAGAATTGCCATAAATTATTGCTAATCGCTATGCTCGATTGCAATTGATATTAAAAATTGTAATTATTAGATTATTACATACAAAATGTTGTACTCTGAATTTTTCTTTTTCAAAAAATGCTTTTTTGTAAAAAAGAATGTCTTCTAACAATCAAAAAGTAATGTATAAAAATTGCAAATGATCTCATTATTTATATATTATTTAATAAAAATATATTAATAAAATATACATGTATTTTTATTTCCACGAAAAAGTATACATTATGTATTTCTGATTTTATTATGGAATTATTATTAAAGTAATTTCGCAGTTCTGAACTAATTCAATTAGTTTGATAGAACACGAGAGTTCTTTGTTAAAAATTTAATAAAACATGAACCCAATATTTTTGCATCCGGGCAATGTAAAAGAGACTACTGGGAGAGTAAGGCAGAAAGAAAGACTGCGAAAAGATGTAAAGACGTTCCATCGGAAGAAAAGCATCTTCAATTTAACATATTTAATGATAATCTCATTACTGTACTCACCGGACTCCGAGATGGATGGGCTACCTGCAGACCTGTCCGAGTTACTGGAGCTTCCGGTCGAGCTGGTGGATGCCGTGCCCAGGGAGCACTCAGAGATACTACGCCGCTTAGACAGCATCGCTGCGGAAGCGGCGGTGGCGGCGACGGAGCCGGTCGGCGCGCTCGTGCTGAGCCCGTGGAGGCCATGAAGCGCATGAAGGCCATGGAGGCCGGTCTGATTCGTCAGCTGCTCGAGCCGCCGTCTCAGGAACCTGTGCTCGCGCGACAGCTGCTCCTTGTGTATGGTATGCTTACGTTCGCGGTCCTCCAGGTTCTGTAAATCGAACGATGTGACATCACACATGATCTCTCGCGCGCGATATCGTGTATGTAATTTAAAATAATAACATTTTATTGTAATAACGTACGTATGTACAACCTAACATATAGTACATATATAGTGTAACATAAATATAATATAATACATATATAATATTAATATATGTAATTAATAAACAATATTTATATATAATATATACATATAATATTTATATAGTACTATTTATATA